GCCAAAGCCACCTCCTAGGGGCTTCCTAGACTGCCCACTGACTAGCAGCTAAGGGTGAATGCCGGCCACAGTATGAGGGAGGGTCAGGGCGGGCCCTGCGGCTCTGCCAGTGGTCAGTGTTCCTGCTGGGCCAGTGCTCAAACATTAGACTGTCAGCTGGGCCGCAGGGCACGCACTCAACTGGGGCTTGTCAGGAGCTGCCCCTCCCCCCAGGCTCCTGAGATCTCAGTCTCTGTCTGGCCGCCCCACTCTCAATCCCCCAGCGGGTGAGCTGCTTCTCCCCACCAGAAATCCAGCCAGGAGGGACTGAAGCCATCACCTATGCAGATCTGCCCTGTCAGGACTGGCCACAAGGGGGCACTGCTGGTCCCGGGAAGGCTAAGCCTGCAGAGAGCCCTGGGCAAGCACACAGGTGCTCTGGGCCCCAGGATCCCACACCCGAACCCGGCAGTGGACGGGGTTGGAATTTTCCAGCATGGCAGGTCCCTTTGCAAGCCTGTTTCGTTCCTCTGCCTGGGTCCTCAGCACAGCCCCTGGGGTGGCAAGCAGGCCTGGCACTAAGTGGCCAGCGTGCCCAGGCTCAAATCTCTGCTCCGTCGTTTCCTTCCTGGGCCACCTTCGGTGAGTCATTGCCCTGCTCTCTGAACCTCGGGTTCTTTATCTGCAATATGGGAATAATACTAGTGTTGTCTCAAAGGTGTCGGCGGGATTGGATGAGTTTGTTTTGTTTTGTTTTGTTTTGTTTTCAGTTTTGCCATAAAGTGCATGCTCTCACCAGAGACAGAGAAAGAGAGAGCAAATGTGAGAAATCACCCCCTGGGGGGATGGTTAGGCTGCGATTCATTCTCCTCCGGCTTTCTCTTGGGATTTCGGGGCATGTACACGCACATTTGATTTTCAAACTGCTGGGTCCAGGACTCAAACCATGCAGTCAGCCGTGTGGGATCCAGCTACCTTAACCTCCATACTATGTGCTGGCTCCTAAATGAGATTTTAAGTTTTAAATTTTGGTTCTTTTTCTTTTTTTTTTTTTTTTTAGCTTTTTGCTATAGAGTGCATACTCTTATCAGAGACAGAGATGAGAGAGAGAGAAGAGAGAAATCACCCCCTAGGAGAGGGTAGCCATGCCACAATCCCTTCTCCTCTATTCTCCTCTTCAGATTTTGGGCACACACATGTGCCTGGTGTGTTTTTCAAGTCACCAATCTGGGACTCGAACCTTCCAGTCACTCAGGTGGGATCCAGCACCCTAACCTCCACGCCGCCGGCTGGCCCTAAATGAAGTTTTTTAGACGTTTATTGCATTTATTCCATGAGGCAGAGAGAGAAAGAGACATTCCCTCCCCCTGGGAGCCTTACGCTGGGACCCACTCCTGGCTCGAGTGAGCCCAAATCATGACATGCATGAGCTCCTGGTGTGCACGGGAGTTCTGCATGTGTGCTGGACCCTCCTACATGGCTCTGGCATGACGGCATTGCTACCTCCCCGCTGCCACTGCCCGCCCGATGAGTTTCCTTCAAGCCCTTAGACCAGGGGGCAGCCAAGAGCTGGCTGCCTGGCTCAGGCACAGGGCTTCCGGTCACCCCTCAGCCACTGCCGTTTACAGCTGCATCCACAAGGGAAGGGTCTGGTGTGTGTCCCGGGACCTCCTGAGCACACTGGGGATGCACGCGTGTGGGACTGTGATCCGGGCAGGCTGAGAGGGGCGGGTCGTGGCATGGAGACCTCAGGCAGGCGCCTGTCTCTGTGTGTCTCTGTACCTATCCATCTCTTGTCTTTTCCTGTCTCTGTCTTACTCCCCTCACAAAATAAATATAAATAAATAAACCTAAACAAACAAACAAACAAACAAGGGGGGGACCAGCAGTTGGAGTAATGGCTATGTCGCTGGACTCCCACGTAGTCAACTGCAATTCGAGCCCCAGACCCAGTGACTTAAACTCACGCCGGGCGCGTGTGCGAGGGTGCCCAAGATCCCGAGAGGAGAATGGAGGGGAAGGGATTGCAGCGTGGCCATCCCCCCTGGGGGTGATTTCTCGCTTTCTGTCTCTCTGTCTGTCTTTCTGGCAAGCACATGCGCCTTATAGCAAAAACCTCTCCAAAAAACAAACAAAACAAAACAAAACAAAACCAAAAACAAACAAGGAACCAGCAAATGGCGTGGTGGTTATGTTGCTGGACTCCCACATGGTCAACCCCGGTTCAAGTCTAGGAACCGGTGTCTTGAAACACATGACAGGCGCATGTGTGTGTGTGCCTGACATCCCAGGAGGAGAGTGGAGACGGGATGGGGGGCAATTTCTCACTTTCCCTCTCACTGTCTCCCCCAGCCTCCAGGAGTACACACACCTAAAGCAAAAACCTCCTGAAAACAAAAACCCAACAAACTGTACGACCTACAATTCCAAAATGCTTACTGCTTGGCCCTTCACAGAAGCGCCATCTACTGCCTTCGGGTCATTGCATGGGGCTAACCCTCAGCCGCGCCTTGGGCAAGGAGAAGTAGGAAGCAGCCTTGCAGTCCACCCATTGTTCTCTGTATTCCATAAAGCTGCGCTTTGAATCTTCTGCCACAGGGCCGGATCGCTGCCTGCAGGGGGCGCCCTATCTCGTGCAGACACGCGTCACACAGCCCACTGTAGCAGAGGGACTCGGAGCTGTGGGAGCCCCAAGGAGGCACCTGGCCCAGCTGAGGTTGGGGAGGTATTCAGGAAGGCTTCCTGGGGGAGGTGACATCTGGGCTGGAGGATGGGGAGGAGGTTAGCCAGGAAGCCAGTCTTCATATGGCAGCTGGCATGAAGAAAAGAGCCAGAATCCACTGAGACAATGCAGGTCCCTGAGTCCCCTCTTCACCCCCTACAGCCCCTCTGTCCTCACATGGAAATGGTGTCATCGAACCTCGCAGTGTGGTCAGGTCTGCCCCGAACCTTAGTTCTCCGCCCTCCTTCCCTACACTGAGCAGGGAGGGGTGCACTGCACGGAGAGTCGCTCAG